CCAGGGAGCTCGCCACTAGGTAGTTTGCCACCAAGCAGTTCGTCACCAAGTAGTTCTCCCCTAGGGAGTTCGCCACCAAGTAGCTCATCACCAAGGCACGTCACCACCGGGTCAAACAACGAGGTACTTAGCCAAAAAATTTATACATCACAAAAAATGGTACGTGACCAAAAACGGTTACATCAAAGGGCATTCCCCCATTTGAGGAAATCCCATTCCTACTGATTCTAATTCACAATTTTATTCCTATTTGAAACAAACAAACTATAACAATAGACTATTCTAACTCTGATTCTAAAAGATTTTGATTCTGATTCCGATTCTAACGACAAATCAAACAGGCCCTAAGATCAATAAATAAGTTATTTATCTTGTTTCACTAGCAGCAAGGGAGTGTTTTATGTTTCATTTGATTCATGAATGCAATACTATTTTATAGTTTACAGGAGCATTGTTTCTAGTTCTAGAATGATAAATAGAACCAATAATTTCAGCAGTTTGTAAAGACTTAACGATAGATAGCTTCTTGAACCACGCAACATGGTCCAAAAAGTATGCTGACGCTATCAAAAGATTAGTTGTATCTCACATCACCAATTTTCCGTCTTAGAATGGGAAATGCATTACCTTTGGGCTCCTCTTCTTCCTATAGATATATTATCATCTTGTTATTTTCTGTGACATGTTATTTTTAATATATAATTCTACATGTGCTTATATTATATATTTTACGTGTATCAAAGGATGGACTAAAATTCATAGCCATAAGATGGCCCATCCTTTAATTTATTTATTTTTAGTATACCTACCACAAAGTATATAATTATATATGTAATTATTTTAACATATTAAATATATAATATTCTTAACATATTATTGTATAAGTCTTAATATTCTATATTTTAAACATACCATAAAATGATGAACTAAAATCCAAATCACATTTTTCATTTGGGCCCATAGGCATTTGATAAAAAATTGTCGTATGATTAATTTTAGGAAAATCTATGATGCCGGAAAGATATGATATCAAAAGAGTTTTGAGCAATCAAAATCCACCTGTAAATTTTGATAAATACCACCTGATTGACTGTCACATTTATGGGACAGGGTTGATTGATCATAAGTTTTTCAGAAACCATATATTTTCCGGTATCATAGTCAAACCCTTAAATTTAATGGTAATAGATGAAACAGTATTGTACATGTAAGTCACATAGAAAAACTCACCACATGTTTAGTTTAGAAAATGAACCACAAAGAGGACAGTGGGTTGTGATATTATGTGGCTCAAAACACAACCGCGATCTTGTGAAAAAAACAACAAGGAAAAACGTTATACATGATTCAAAAATATATTGCCATTTCCCAGAGAAAAATGTGGTGAGATTATGGTACGCAAGCACCTAAATTTTTTTGAACCACTAGAACACCTCACTAAATCAGTGAAGAAAACGGTCCCTAAGTAGTTGGAATAATGCTTCATTGCCACCGTCATCTTCTCCATGATATGGATTAGTGGTTTTCCAAATTGCTATTATTTTTCACACGAAAATTGCAATATCACATAACACTTATCTATCTCCAGATCAGCCAATATACGTGTTTGGTTTGTTTTCTTCTCGTTTTATCCACCTGACATTATAATATATACATCAATCTTAATGTCTTATTCATTTCTGGAACAGTGGGAGCTTTCCACGATTCTTTCCAGGAAACCATGCCAAGATCCCGAAAGAAACATGTAATAGCAATTGTAATTTTTAATTGCTCTTTCGAGAAACTCGGCCAATATGTATGTGGAAAGATGTGGACTGCCACCCACAACTCAACTCACGCCATAAACCCCCAAAGGCTTCTCCATCTTAAGGCAGCAAGATGCCAACCGCACACTAGTCGTACTCGGGGGTCTTCCTCAACTCTCGCAGACCACAAAACAAACCTAATCAAACACTTGGTAGTTAATATTTAATACTCCTCTCTTCCTATCAAACCAACGTTTCATTCATTTTCATCTCTTATCTCTCATCTCTCTCTGATACACACTCTCTGCCTCTTTCTTCATCTCTTGATTTAAGGCACAGATCAACTAGAGTCATTGTCTCTTACACTAAACTAGACAAATAGATGGTTTGGCCCATGCTAACTGCCCATCTGTAGCGCCATTCTTTTGGTGCAGCCCCACCAATAAATCAAAGCGATCAACGGGCTCCACATGCTTCCTGCTAACCCTGGCCGCTTAAGTGCTGCGTCACTATCATAACATCAACAATTGAATAATAAGTTAATAACCAATCAAACAATATTGTATACAGGAACGGGTTGCAGACTGGCAGAGCTATTTTTCTAATCGTGGGGACTTCTGAAACACATGACGCCCCAACCATCGGGCAGTCATGTGCCTCCTTGGTAGCCTACAATTACATTACCAAAAAGAAATGAGGCGCCTTTTGCAGTGAAAATGCAATAATATTGCCCACCGACAACTCATTCCAGAGTTGAATCACATTGCTTGTTTGAGTGAGGATCGGATGTGGTGGAGTAGCCCTCCTTGTATTGTATTGAACAGTTTATTTCGTTCTAGTGTTTTTTATTAACTTCCCAAAAATTAAAAAAAAAATCATATTGCTTGTTTGATGATTGATCCTCAAATGCTTTTAAGAAAAGAGATTTATCAAAATGTGCTGATTGCTGAACAATAAAGGCAATTCCTGGTGCAGATAATAGAGAACTCCAGAGAAGCCATTGGCATTGATAATTTATATCTACAGATCTACAAACGCAAGCTTACAATTCACACCAATATACATATGTATCCTAGGAAAAAGGAAAACAGAACCATCCACCAATTTTGCTCAAACTAAAACTTAATTTTACATTTATGAAAGAAAGAAAGAAAGAAAGGAGAAAAAACAAAAGCTTTTCGCACACAACCTTAAAATCTAGACACATTCTAATTTAATTAAAGGCTTCAGTTTGTTCTCTGGTTCTCACTCTCACATAACAATTTCAGGCTTCAAAATGCTGCTCTTGATCTCTTTGTGGGGTAGGACAATACCCCCATTGCTGTATATTTCATCGCTTACATGAACATCTTCCCCAAGGATGGTCATGTTCTCAATACGAGCCCACTGCCCGACGGTGGAATGCCACCCAATGATGCTGCTCGAGATGCATGTATGCTTCTTAATGTGAGTTCCTTGCATTACAGTACAACGCGAAAGTCTAACCCCTGACTCAACTACACATCCTGGACCTATGGCAACATCTGGCCCAATCAGACAGCCATCTCCAATCACAGCAGTCTCATGAACCAGAACATTTCCAACAATGTGAGAACCACGTGCCAATTGGGATGAAGATTTCTTTCTCAAGGAGTCCAGATAGAGTCTGAGACCTGTGATATAATCCTTTGGCTGTCCAATGTCCATCCAAAATCCTGGTAGGGCCATAGCAAAAAGCTTTCCCTCTGCTGCAATCTTTGGGAACACCTCTTTCTCAATTGATGTTGGCCTTAATTCAATCCGATCAAGAACAGATGGGTTCAACAGGTAAATCCCAGCATTGATCTTGTTACCAACAAATATTTTTGGTTTCTCTACAAACTTCTCAACTTTCCCTGTTGCCTCTTCCATAACCACAACACCATACTTGGATGGCTCATCCACCTGTCAAACAAACAAGATGGTTCTCAGTCTTTCCATTTTAGTTTTGACTGAGAAAATAAAACTATGCCTCCTAGAAAGAAATATCAGACACCTTGGTAACAGAAACAAAGAAGATGAACTCAGAACTACCTTAGTAACCATTATGGAAGCCTCTCCTCCATGGGCTTTATGGAAATCTATCATTTCCTTCAATGGGTACTCACTGATAACATCACTATTGAGAACAAAAAATGGTTCACCAGAGTCATCAATCAGCTTGTCCCTTGCCAGAGCCAGAGGACCAGCAGTTCCAAGTGGCTCAGTTTCTCGTGAGCAGGTGATCTTGATTCCAAGCTTTGACTCAAAATCCTTCAAGAAACTAAGCATGACCTGAAAAAAACCCAAGCACACGCCACAAGCAATTAAGAAACAATGAAAGAGCACTCAGAGCATCTAAAGCGGTTCTATGGAATAAGGCAAATTGTCTAATACTTTTACCTCTGGTTGGTAATTGATTGCCAATACTACTTCAGTGACACCAATAGCCTTGAGAGCTTCTATCTGGTACAGATTTAGCAATGATAGTTAACAAAAAGGCTATGCTGAAGGTGATCCAAATAGTATAGATATGTCAAGTAGATTTAAATTATTTACTTTTTCTTCTAGGGAATACTGGGTTATTTCTTCATTGAACACAGTTATTGATTATTAAGGTCACCAACCCATACTAGAGGAAGGAGCTCTGGGCCTATGGAGAATTTCAACCCACTTAAGCACCAAGCAGTCAAAAGCACATTCACAGACACTTAAAAAACAGAGAACCATTAAAAACATTGATAACAAGAACTGAAACACAGAGGCAAAACATTATGAAACAACAATAAAAAATCAATCGAATCCATACATATTACAATTTGATGATTAATCTCTTCCACAAAATGTCAAGAAACCCACTTGCATATTAGAATAGGAAGAAAAGAGTTGAAAAAAAGAAAGATGCGAAATTTAGGAAGTAAAACCTGATGCAGAATCATGGGTTTATTAGCAAAGTCGACCAATGGCTTTGGGACACTGAGTGTCAATGGCCTCAACCGTGTTCCAAACCCTCCAACAAGAATAAGTGCCTTCATTTTGAAAATCCCCTGTATTTACTGCCAATAAATAAGTAGCTTTTACTCAGTAGACTGTCACAAACTAAATAGAAAGATAAGGTATGATCATTTACAGAATTCTTCATTGACATTTTTTGATCTTAAATTGTGATCAATGAGCTCATTCTCAGGGAAGAATTTTAGTCTAAAAAAGAATTAAGAAATAAAATGTGTGGAAAATTGAATCTAAACATACTGGGAAACTACCAAAAGATTCAAAGCATGTCTGAATAGATGAGTACTAATAATAAAACAGCGAGGAGGAATCTACATGTATCTTTTATACCGGAGAAACATACAAGTTCCAGATAAGCTACAGGCTGGGTTTGGCAAATGGAATCGGCAATTGCAGGTTAGCTAGGATTTGAAGTTAGAACTAGATAAGAACTCATTTACAATACCAATATACCAATTACAACAACGTCTGTAGTGAGAAAACAGAAGATAATCGATCTCTCATTGGGTCAGGAAACCAGAATATAAGCTATAGTAAAAGTTAAGTATATCAAAAAGCATCATATGAAGCAAAGATGGAAAGCTTGCAGCAATTTGTGCGCACCAAAAATTGAAAAAGACGGAGAAAATACAAATATAAGAACTTGTATAAACCGACAGGCAGATAAAGCCTAGACAACTAGCAGATCTGATGAAACAATCAAAATTCAAGGTATCTTTTTCTTTCTTTTTTTCTTCTACTGACAAGGAGCATAAAGATTGAAAAAAGAACCTTCGATAAACCCGACCCAGGCAACGAAATCAAAGCAAGTATTAAATTAAAGCACGACAGAAAAGACATAGAACAAAAGAATCATAAATAAGACTTGTTTGATTTGATAGAATGTTAGAAAGAAACGGCAAATTGAGGGAAAGTTCTTAAGGCATTTTGTTTGTGACCAGTAAGGCTATGTTTGCCAAATCTATTAAGAACTTCCCCTTAACTTTCTATTTCTCCCTAATTTACAATCAAACCAAACCACAGCCTAAGTGATCCCGCATCTCAATAAGGAAGATCAAATCCTATCTACATTGCCAAGTTCTTACCGAGATCTGGAACCAATCATTAAGAAAGAGATCAAGCGGTTTCAAATCCTCCAAATATCTTCAAGAAATAAGGATCAAACCATATATAGAGCGGAATTCAGAAACAAGACAAACACAAAATAGGCGTTGACAAAGAAAATTGCAGTGATTTCGCCGGTTCTTACCAGAAAGCAGTCGTATGCTAGCAACTGGGCAGAACTCCGGAAACTAATACTGGCGGGAATGCGAGAATTGTGGATTTGGCCCGTTGGTTTTCCCTCGCTTTTTCCCCCAACGGTTCGTTAGGGGGGGTGCTGTTCAAAGCGTTCGCTGTTCGGGAGCGAATCCTTGCAGGCATACCGCAGAGCTTTATATATACCGAAGGGAAGGGCTTTTAACTTTGTTTGGAACTTTGGACTCTGACTGCTTGTTCCTGTTTCCACGTTGGTAGCTTCAGGGATGCAATTTGGAATTATCTTTTCTGTCTGAAAAAAGTAATTAGAAAAAGAAAAAAAAAAAAACTCAGCAACGTGATCGTACAGCGAATTAATCTTAAATCAAAATTTGACCTTTTCTTTGAATTTTATTATTATATTAATTAGCCTCCTTCATTAATTGCATTACTTGTTGCATAATTATCTTAAACCACTATTTTAATATTGTTAAATTATTTATTGATTTATAATTTTATATTCGACACAAATTAATATTATTTGTTTATTTTGTTTCCAAACTGGCTTCATCCTTAATCCTCTATGTGGGGTGCCCTTGTGGGGCGCAGATGTGAACCCATTACACTATACTCGTTTCTACTTCTACACCATTGGAGGGCTATCAATGGGTTCGAGTTGATTATGCCGGTTTTAGTTTCAGTAGGTAGAATCGATGGGTCAGTTTTGGGTTTTGATATAGTGTTCTAATTATTATTGGTGTGTCCTGATTATTATTGATTTGGAATTGGTTCCATCTAATCCTAAACTGATTTAGACTCGACATGATTTATATACATAATATATATATATATATATAATATTAAATAAATTATATATATATATATATATATAATTGAGTCAGTAAAAATCTGACCCCATTGTCCTAAAAACCAATTGATTCGATTCTGGGTCTAAAAATTACAGATCCCATTGGATCCGATTTAGTTTCAAGTCTATAATATGTCATGTTGGGTCAGTTATGGTTCTAGCCGGTTCGGCCCAGACCCCATCCGCTAACAACCTATTTAAATGCTCATTTATAAAGGAAAATGAATCAGTGACAATGAAATGAACTTGCTTTCTAGAAATTGGGGTGTTCAGCAAAAAACGAAGAATCGTAAAACTAAATCGGACAGAGGAAATCAATAGAAGTAGAACTAGGTAGGCTTGGGTTGGGAAATTATGGGCCTGGGTTGATACAATGTAAACTCTTCAAAGTGCCCGACTTGCACTCCTAGTAACTAAACTAAAAGAATCCAATTAATACAACCGATCAGTTCAATTTTGATTATATTAAAAGAAAAGTTGATGGTTAATTCAACTGACCGGTTAACATATAATATATTATATATTATTTATTTATAACATATAATATATTTATAATAAATAATATACTTTTATATATTTATAGTATTTATATTTTATATTCATATATTTATTTATAATATATATCATAAAATATAAAAATAAAAAAATAGAACCAATCAATTAATTAACCAGTTGATTTTGGACCGATAGTTCTAGTTTGATCTCAAAAAAGAGCCAACAATTAAATTAATTGAACCGTGAGCACTCCTATCCAGAAAAAAAGCAAAAACACTCCTAATATAATTGAGTGGGTTAGGTTGGAACCCGTTTTTTGACATGTTATGAAACTGATCCGACCCATTTCCACCAAGCCTACAGGCCTTTTCTTAGTGTACATGCACATTCATAATTAAAGATCAAGCTATTCAATGAATCTTTAATTGGGAAAGTCAGAACTTAATCTCACAAACAAAAAACATCTGATACAAGTCTCCTTTTTCTTTTAATTTAATTTTAACTGTTTATCAAAGTTTCTTTTCTCAAAGCTCACCTCCCCCATATATAACCTTTCTGCAACCATGCTCTTGGGCAGGCAACGAAACGTTAGGGTTTCTAACTTTAAGCTTGATCTGTTATTCATGCAAAGTAACCTGACAACAATGTATGTTGACCTGATGACCTCAATACCTCGTTTGAACAAACCCTAAGCCCTAGTCAGGTTCAGTTTATGCTCATTTTATAAGATATGCAGGCAGGCTAAAAGTGGCAACCTTGGTGGTACATACCAGATCAAGGAGAAAGAGAGAGAGATTTAACAACTTGATCTAATACTGCTCACCATGAGATAGGAACCTACTGGTATCAGATTATGTTGGTAGGCTATTAGAATATATTTTGTTGGTAGATGATCTGGACACGGAGAGAGAGAGAGAGGAAAGGGCTACAAAGAAATCAAAGGCATTGATGAGAACAGAAATGAGGAGGGTTGAGAAGAAAAGTATATAAATATAGTATCACATGGTGATGAGATGAGGCTTGTCGGTGAAACTAGGACCTTGGAGTTGGGTGGGTAAATACTAAATAGGGTCAACGCGTCTAGTTATCTTCATTTAGGCTTTGTCAAATAAAACAATGGGTTGACGCCTGAATCTTGGTTCTGCAATCCATGGTTTTTCTTTTCTTCTTCTTTTTGAACCCTCTAATCTTATTTGGCCAATCTTATCCAATATTAAATTATGAATGCTTAAAACCTTCAAGCAGGAAAATAAGTGTTGGATATTAAACTTTAATGAATATCTAACATTTATTTTCATGCTTAAATTCTTATTATCAACACAAATAAACCAGTTTGGAATCAGGCCCTAGTTTTTTTTTTTTTTTTTTTAACCAGTCAAGCCCTAACTACTTATTTAGCATGTTTTTGGTCCGATTGTCTGCTTAATAGAAAATGTAACGTAGGATGTACTTAAGTACCTTTCCTATTTTCCACACAAAGATCAATAATATGTGCAAAGTGTTATAGAAATCTTACTTTTTAAATAAGATGTATTTTTGCACAGGATTCATTGCCATGTAACTGAAAGTCCAAGTTAGTGTTAATAAATGCCTTCACTTTTGTACCAGTAAGAGATCTGACTAATATAGAGTATAGACGTTGTTGTGAACTCAAAGGTTAGGCCAAACGTTGTCATTTGTACCATCCACGTTCATCAAAGTTTGCCCTCCAGTCCAGGCCTCCCCACTGGGCCAAGCCAAACTCAGGTTATTTCCTCTTTTGGGGAAAAAAGAAAAAAGCAGAGTTCATCGCTTCAGAAATCCTAAATTGACCTCACATTAGAATCTCATCTTTTGATTGAAAATGACTTTGATTTAGAAAGCAATACTTTATGTCATGAAATCCTACCAACCAAGGAATGTGAATTCATATATCACCCATCTCCTCAACCACATATCAGTATTAATCCATTTAGGTTACATTTGAAAGGTTCATTACATATCTAGAGGCAGACATTTGCTTCATGCAGATTGCCTCTCAAAGGGCATAAATAGATTGAAAGCAACCTTACAACTAAAATTGCAATTGGGCTGGACTATGCGGCACTGGGTTGAGCACTTTCGGTCTGGGCTGGATCTAGATCCAGTCATCCAAACCTTAAGGTAAATTGATAATCTAAAAGTATAATGCTTAAGATCCTAAAGGCAATAGAATTCCAAGTTCCAAGGTTCATCTGACTATCTGAGTGGTGGCTCGGTTGGTGCTTAGTTTCGGTAGTTCCATAAATGATGCTGTTTTGAGACCCGCTATTGGATCCCACCACCTTACCTTTGAGAAGAGTTGTCAGAATGTTGTTTAAAAAAAGTGATGTTCTATGCCAAGTAAAAATGAAATACAGCCCTATGGGGGCAAAAGGCAATGTACTGAAGGACCGGAGGTCTAGTTAGCATTTTTTTTTACAAAATGAAGCTAATTTGGATGAGCAATTTGGTGCAAAATTACCCTCCCCAAACCTTCTTGAATAATGTTTGTAAATACATTCATGAAACAGAATTTTGAGGTGCCATGCACTTCTATTTGTCCTTCAAGCATTTCTATGGTGGTTTGGGAGTGGTTCTTTACATTGGGAGGTCAATCTATAATACCCCCCC